GGCGCTGTTTTGAAAAAAACAACAATGACGTGACTTTAAAGACTTCGTGTAGTGCTATTGAAATGGCACATACGGAAAAGTAAATTTAGTTATTTTTCCAACAAATTTAGGGCCTGTTCATATGGGCAAAAGTTATCCCGGACTAGCCAAATACTTTTGTTCTGTTCATATGGAGAAACGTTTTCCCGCTTACCGGGTAAAGTTTCCGGCTGTGACGTAGCACTGAACATCAATTGAATTGAAAAGTTGCTGACACGACAGAAAATTATCCCGCTAAGCGGGAAAGTTATGTTCATATGGGAAAAACATTATCCCGGTCACCGAGATCTCGCCTGTCAACAAGCGAGATCTCGGTACACGGGAAAACTTTTCGTCTCATATGAACGCTGTGTAACGTTTCATATTATTTTCATAACAAGGCGAGATCTCGCTTGTAAACTTGTCGAAATGTTTTCCCGCTAACCGAAATAACTTTTGCCCATATGAACAGGCCCTTAGACTTAAAATATTCTGATGACATTTTAAAATTTCGGACCTCCGCCCCCCCCTCCCCCCCCCCAGTAAAATTTTATGGAAGACGCCCTTTGCTTCTCCACTATAAAACAAATCCATGACAATATTTTTTATCCGAATCTGGGTTTTTTTCCGAAAATAGAAAATAGTCATTAACTATTTTGATTCTTTGAGAAACACTTTTTACATTAATATGAAATAATTATACACAAAAAGGTCAAAATAGTGGGCCCTATACAATTATTAGAAATTTATCACAACAAATGTTATCACTGCCCACTAAAATTAGGTATGATTACAAACGATCAAATCGAGCGATATTTTATTATAAAAAAACTTCATCAAGGACAACACACCCAAAGTATTTTCTGAGGATTTTTGCGAATAAAATTTTTGGGAGAACGACTTTATTCGATGTTTATATTCTCGCATAATATTAAATATATGACATTCACTTACACGTCTTTTCTCCCTTGATCTCCAATTTCAACGCAATCTTATTTTGAAACGATATCGGCATGAATCTCATCCAACGGGTGACCATGTATGTTCCAATGTTTATTTTCTTTACAGTGGTACTGTTTACATTGCCAGCGAGTACCTAATGAAGGTATATGTTATACACTATATTGTTGTTTTTTTGTCCTTGCTGTTGTTGTTTTGGATGGTGGTAGTGTCACAATTAATGTTGTTTCAGCTGTTGCTGTTCGTCTTATTGTACATGCTGTTCTTTTTCTTGCTGCTGTTGTTGTTGTTGTTGTTGTTGTTGTTGTTGTTGTTGTTGTTGTTGTTGTTGTTGTTGTTGTTGTTGTTGTTGTTGTTGCTGTTGTTGCTGTTGCTGTTGTTGCTGTTGTTGCTGTTGCTGTTGTTGCTGTTGTTGCTGTTGCTGTTGTTGTTGTTGTTGTTGTTGTTGTTGTTGTTGTTGTTGTTGTTGTTGTTGTTGTTGTTGTTGTTGTTGTTGTTGTTGTTGTTGTTGTTGTTGTTGTTGTTGTTGTTGTTGTTGTTGTTGTTGTTGTTGTTGTTGTTGTTGTTGTTGTTGTTGTTGTTGTTGTTGTTGTTGTTGTTGTTGTTGTTGTTGTTGTTGTTGTTGTTGTTGTTGTTGTCATTGTCGTTACTGTTACTGTTACTGTTGTTGTTGCTGCTGTTACTGTTGTTGTTGCTGCTGTTACTGTTGTTGTTGCTGCTGTTACTGGAGAGTTTAAGTTCGACTTCCAATACCAATACCGATACCGATGTTTTCACTTCCGTTCTCATTTTGGTACGGGGAATTTTAAAGCGTTAAGTTATCACGACAGATAAAGTATAGAACACATTAATCGGTACCGAAAATGTGCGGTATACTAAACGGCAGTTGAGCTAAAATTCCGACTAAAACATGACTCAGGCGATGCTAATAACAAATAGTTTACATGTTTATCGTTAAAAATTATGAAATATCCGATTTATATGAGTTTATCTTACAATTCCCCCGACTTCCAATACAAGGCCGACTTCGGTAGTGGTGACTTCCAATACACTTGTCCTCGTGCTTCTTGCAAGCAGAGAGCATGCGCGTGACATGTTGTTAGTATCGGTATTGGTATCGGAAGTCGAACTTAAACTCTCTACTGTTGTTGTTGCTGCTGTTACTGTTGTTGTTGCTGCTGTTACTATTGTTGTTGCTGCTGTTACTATTGTTGTTGCTGCTGTTACTATTGTTGTTGCTGTCGTTGTCGTTGTCGTTGTCGTTGTCGTTGTCGTTGTTGTTGTTGTTGTTGTTATGGTTGTTGTCGTCGTCGTCATCGTCGCTGTTGTTGTTGCTCTCCTTGTCGTTGTTGTTGAGCTCACTAATTTTTATTCATGTACTGTAATTATACAGCATGTGGTTATTCGGAGCATGAATTGTAGCAATCGTGCTTTTATAATCCATGTTTGGAGTTCAATTGATTAGGTAGAGTGAAATGTTCCTATTGAATCGTGTTTCCGTGTGATTGAGACATTGGCTTTCGATGCCTTTATCTTTTTACCTGATGACATAAATTAAACAGACATTTCACATTCACTGACATAACAGCACGATTTCGCAAATGTGTCCCCAGTCCAGACCTAAACACTCTCATACAATATCTCAATCTCACTCATACAATATCTCAATCACGAAAATCAGCGAGGCTCTATATAGCCAATTATTACCACCAGCGTGTTTCTTGAGATTGCATTTTAAATAAAAATCAAATTGATTAAATATGATACTTTGTAAAACAATCTTGCTTCGTCCTTGAGATATTTACAGTAACAATTGTTGATATACACATTATCCTCACTATGACGCCACATTGCATACAGTAGTGATCTAAAAAAAACTTCAAGATTTTGGGATATCGTGCATCGAAATAATAAAACCGTTCATATGTGTTATGCCAACATACCACAAATATATATTATACAAGGTGTATAAAAATAGGTACGCTGTAGCGTACATGGCGTCTACTGGATCAAAAACAAAGAATGTCAATGCCGTCCGGTTTACATTTCCATTTCCAACTTTGGAGTGGAAAGATTAAATCTCGGCAATTAGGATTTTTTTTAGTGGTATTTTCGTATTCTACTGCAAATACTCGCGGATTTCTTTAATATTTAATCTTCCCGTCGTGAAAATCGGGACTCAAGGCCGGACGGCATGGAAACTTTCGTAGATGCGCGGGCTTTAACCTAATCAAAGAGCCTGTTCGCAGGAAAAGTAAACCGTCCACTGCACCTAAACCACCAACCTCGTTCCCAGCACAGAATAAAGATCAGTAACAGAAGGGCCACTCAGCGGTGCAACGTGTCCGCGTTTTTTTATGCAAATATATGCAGTTTACTGGCCAGAAGGCGGAGCAGCCAGCCAGTACAGCGTGTTTATTGGCCAGAAAGTGTCATTGACTGGCTAGGAAAATGCCAACATGCGTAATGCGACATGTGCGAGGACAGATACTTCAAAGCTTCCGACATAAGTGGCCCTTCTATATGGATCTTTATTCTATGCCTAAACTTAGGAAATTCCGAAGTTGTGTTTGTTTTTTTATACACCATGTATGTCGACAAATTTGAATCAGTTATCTACAAGAGTTATAAAAGTTTTTTTCAGAAAGCCACTATGCAATTTCACGTCATTGTGAGGATAATTTACATGTCAGTGTAATTATGTTACCAGTGCATGTTACTAGTCATTTTGAATTTTCTGTGCGAAATTTAGTAACACTTTAAATAACACATCGCTTTTGCCACCTATAGCAACAACTAATTTGAAAATACAAAGGTCACGCAGCCAACTTTCCGGATACCTTTCACTTGAATAGACAATTCCAGCTATCAACTACATTTTTAAATAGTACTTCAAAAACTCATTAATAATTCATGAGTAATTCAGCCAATGATAATCACCTATTTGATCACAAGATGCCATTTGGATACTTGATGAAAGTCACTAGTGTTTTCATCAAATATCTTAATTACGCATGCAAAATTACTTGAATAGAATTCCTAATTACGTTATGCTTGGTTAAGAATTCTATTCAAATCAGCAAACGAAAACATTCTGTTACGTCTCGATTCATTTGAGAAGCCATATAAACAACTCGAGCTCGTGTCTCACCGGGATATACAAACACTCGAAAACAATGTATGAAAACACTCGCGCTTCGCGCTCGTGTTCTCATACATTGTTTTCTCGTGTTTGGATATCCCGGTGAAACACTCGCTCTCGTTGTTCATATATTACTTCAAAAACTCATTAATAATTCATGAAGCAATTATCCAATCCTGAAGTATCTTTATACCAGCTAAAGAACACTTTAACAAAAGACCATTGTTATGCAAACTATATAAAGATTTTTATTTAAAGATTTTTATATAAACATTTTTATATAAAGATTTTTATATAAAGATTTTTATATAAAGATTTGACTTATTATGCAAACGTTTTTGAAGCCATTTAAAAAACTCGCAGGTCGTGTTTTATTAGGTCTAAAGCCACTCGTGCTGCGCGCTCGTGGCTTTAAACCTAATAAAACACTCCTGCTCGTTTTTTAAATAGTACAAGAAAGACGAAATATATCATTATTGCTCAAAAGAGCATCCTAAAATTAGTAAAAGTGCAAAGTTTGGTCGCGAAATGTTGTAAAATACGGAAAATATAGCCCTGTGAAATTAGCGAATTTTCAGTATTTTAGTATTACGCACGGTAAAAATAACCACTTTCGGCTCAAAAATGGCTATTTTTACTGCGCGTAATACTAAAATACTGAAAATTTGCTAATTTCACAGGGCTATATTTTCCGTATTTTACAACATTTCGCAACCAGACTTTGTAATGTTACTAATTTTAAGATGCTCTTTTGAGCTATAATGATATATTTCGTCTTTCTTGTCTAGATAAAAATTAGTCGATAGCCGGAATTGTCTATTGATAGGATGCATGTGATTCGACACACATTAACGGAATTCAACGTAATTCCATTTTCTTATCACCTTGATAAAAACGTCTCCAGTTTACCAACCTTATCAGCTCCTAAACTGGTTTTCATTGTAGTCCACGTGAGGCCATTTTCACTTTCTGCTAGCATATATTTCTTCACAAAAGCATCCAAATCTGCATTGCCTTGCATTTGCAACACATTGAATTTCATTATGGTTAAGAAATCGATTTGAAGGTATTGATTTGCATCAGAAACGCTGCTTATCCATCCGCCTAAAATAAACAACATGCAAGTGACACGATATAAAACAAAGAACTATTAATATAGGTAGCACAATGGATAATGAATGTACTTTTCGCCTCTACGAACGGGGATTCGATTTCTGCAATATGCAGTTATCTGCAGGTTATAATTTCGCTTCAGTCGTATGTGAGAAGGGACTTAATCTGGTTTTCCACTTCGCCCATATCGTACCGAAACGTACTGGTGAGCATGCGCAGATTGAAAAGAGGTTTATAAATCCACGTACTTCCGGGTGTATTCGCGTATCAAAGTCAGTTCGTCGCAAGTCAACTTTTTGGCGTACTATGGAAGTACTAACCAACGAACATTCACGAAATTTTGAAATTCAAAAACGTTTTTGATACGTTTCGGTACGGTACGCTTGAAGTAGAAAACGGCCTTTAAGCCGGTTTTCCACTTGAAGCGTACCGTACCGAAACGTATCAAAAACGTTTTTAAACGTTTTTTATTTTGATACACGAATACACCCGGAAGTACGTGGATTTATAAACCTCTTTTCAATCTGCGCATGCTCACCAGTACGTTTCGCTTCGATACGGGCGTAGTGTAAAACCGGCTTTAGGGGTGATCCAGAACTCGGTTCCGGCCGGAACCCCAGTTTTTCAGAGTTCCGGCTCCGACCGGAACCCCAATTTTTCAGAGTTCCGGTTCCGGCTGGAACCCCAATTTTTCAGAGTTTCGGTTCCGGCCGGAACTAATTAAAAAAGGCATGGCCGGAACCGGAACTCTGTCGTTTTCAGAGAGATACAATATTAAACGTATTTGTGTCTAACAAACGTTCACAGGAAAATGTACACTATTAACACTTCATTATGACGTTTAACGTTTGTCAATCTTTTTATTCTAATATTTGCGAGCTCTCTCCTTGATGACTTTTTTTTTACTAATTAACTTTACAATCATATGATATAAAAAAAACAGATAGGCCTACAGCTATGATAAACAAGGGTATATCTAATTGGACGTCTATTGGGACAACAGTTAAGAAGCGGAACAGATACTTACAGAACTATTCAGTAAAAAAACAAAATTCGTTGACTTTTAGATCAATTTAGTTTAAAGAGAAAAACTTTGAAATAATACATTGGGTGAACAAAACCTACGTGTATGGGTGTACAGTTTTTAAAAAAGAAAACTAGGCCAGCAAAAAAGAGATGTTTTAAAGATTGATAAAATATTGTACTCCATGCAACTGAAAAGTAAATTTTATACTATAATTTCAAACTAATGAATGATTAATGAACCGTGAAGAAAAGAAATCAACTGGATAATTATGTAATCGTAATTAACATAGAATTTCGTCAACGTTCTCCCTCACTCAAATTTCTCTTAAAATACTGATCCAGATGTCATACCAAAACCTCCGAATCAAACACCAGATTATCAACGAGGCCGCGAACTATACTAAATTAAAATTATTTCAAGATATAGTCCGCAAAATGTTTAATTTATTGGTAGAATTTTGAGGTTAAGCAGAGGCAAAAGGCGTCAAATCATTATTAGGTGACTCAGGAATAATGCAAAAAAATATTTTAAACTTATAATTTGAGCCTTACTTTGCTGCAAATAGATCAAGTAAAACTGTCAAAAAAAGCACGCGAAAATTTGTGACTGAGTCCACGATGTCATGCAATGAATACTCAGCAAAACAAGGGGGAATTTCGTTCTCGACTAATCAGCGCATTTGTTGACAATTTCGCTCTAAGCCATTCAGAATGGTAATTGGTTACTACTTCCGGTAAAAACATACATTTGAACAGAAAATATAGAATCTTAAATAAAGCTTCGAGGGAGTCAGGATTTTAAATTTTTTTATTGGATTTAACGTGACAAGGTAAAATAAGAAACTTTCTAAAAATTTGCCGCTGGGATTTGCGTCTTATTGCCTAGTAAAAAGTTATCGGCATACGAATAGCGGCGTATAAAAAGCGCGTAAGTTCGAATGTCGATAATTTTGAAATAAAACGCGAATCCCAGCGGCAAATTTTTAAAAAAATTATTATTTTTTTACCTTGTCACGTTGAATCCAATCAAAAAATTAATAATCCTGACCCCCTCGAAGCTTTATTTAAGACCCTATATTTCCTGTTCAAATGTACGTTTTTACCGGAAGTGGGCTTTCTGTGCTCGCAGGAACTCCTACAATAACCAATTACGAATTCTGATTGGCTTAGAGCGAAATTGTCAACAAATGCGCTGATTGGTCCAGAACGAAATCCCCCCTTGTTATACTCAGCAACATGGTCATTTTACGGGTTAATTTCCGGTCGTCATTTGTGGTTCTCAACGTGCACTGACTAATTGGAATGCCTAATGAATGCCCAATGATTGTGACACTGACAATTTAGCTGATATTAAGATTTGAACAGTTTAGCTGACATTAACATTAAGATTAAGATAATTCAAATTCATTAAAATCAACAGTGTGTTTACCTAATGACATCCTGACAAAATGCGGTTGTCCATCTTCAGTGTAACTGGATGCCGTGAACGATTTATCTGGTAAGCGGTAGCTGCCAATTCCAAGATCAGCGTTAGATTCACTCTCTGCCGTAAAAACAAAATGGTTAACATTATTAATTAATGATATAACATTAAGAAAGAAGCAAAATTAGCAAAAGAAAGCAGGATTGGGATGTCAATGTTAGTATAAGAAATCATGATCGTGAAGAGCCTGTATATCTGATACAATTAGGTTTGGCTGATTATATAAACTCAATACCTCATTTTTTAATTCGTAATAATTAACCCAATTTAATTATAACTTTGACGTTTCGCGATAGAGACGAAGGCTCTTTGTTGGAAAGTTAGCCTATTATACAACGGCAACGTCAATGAAGTCGTGTTCACAACGTCAACGAAGCATTTTTACTCTAAGACAAAGGCGACTATAAATTTTATTTCCTTGAGCATTCTATATATACAGGGTGTATAAAAAAACTAAACAGATATGAAATAAATTTTATTTCCTTGAACATTCTATATACAGGGTGTATAAAAAAACTAAACAGATATGAAATAAATTTTATTTCCTTGAGCATTCTATATAGATCGAGGGTGTATACAAAAACTGAACAGATTTGAAATTGCTCTCAAAGAAATTGCTCTCAAACAGCTCGTGGTATCAAGTTTTTGTTATTATTTTTTGTTGTTATTTGTATGTATGTATGTATGTATGTATACATATATATATATATATATATATATATATATATATATATATATATATATATATATATATATATATATATATATATATATATATATATCCTTGTGTTTTTAACTTTTTACACTGATGAAGCCTGTTTTGGCGAAACGTTTGTAATAAAACAACATTATTATTGATCTGTCTGGAGTTCGCCTTTCCTTCTGTCTATCTATCTATCTATCTATCTATCTATCTATCTATCTATCTATCTATCTATCTATCTATCTATCTATCTATCTATCTATCTGATACCATTGACCATGAAATTTTATTGATGAAATTAGCATGCTATGGTGTCGATGATCAAAGTTTATTGTGGTTTAGATCATATTTGAATGATAGGCAACAGGTCTGCCATGTAAATGGAGTCTATTCTAACAAGGACTTCATCAAATGTGGAGTACCACAGGGCTCCATTCTTGGTCCAGTCTTATTCTTGTTATATATAAATGATTTACCGAAATGCCTGGACCACAGTATTGCCAGACTATTTGCCGACGACACAAATATGACCTTTACAGGTTGTAACATTAAATCAATTCAAGAGCAAATGACAAGTGATCTAAACAACATATTTCAATGGCTTTGTTCTAATAAATTGACGCTAAATGTCCTAAAAACAGATTTTATGCTAATTGGCTCACGACAAAATTATCGGCGCTTGACGATTCAATAGTATTATCGGCTGATAATGTGACATTAAGTAAAGTTAGATCTGTAAAGTGTTTAGGTGTCGATATTGACGAGAACTTAACATGGGAAATACACATCCAGAGCATCCGTTTAAAGGTATCCCGTAATATTGCAGCCCTCCGTAAAGTGAAGAAACTCTTTAGTCGGAAAAATCTTGTGTCTCTGTATAGAGCATTAATTGAACCCTATTTTATTTACTGTTCAATTGTTTGGGACAATATAAGTGAGACATTGGAAAAACAATTGCAAGTTCTTCAAAACAGAGCGGCGCGCATAATTACGGGAGCACCCTTATTAAAATCATCTTCGTTGATTTTGGCGGAATTAAACTGGATGAATATAAAAGAAATGCGAGAAAAACAAAAAGCTATTATGATGTATAAAATAGCACATGGTCTTGCACCAGAATATTTAACGGAAATGTTTACATTTCATAGTAGCTTAAATGATTATAGCCTTCGTCAATCCAAATTAAATTTCGAGCTTCCTGTAAATCGAACAGATTATTATAATTCAAGTTTTGCTTTCACTGGAGCAAAGCTATGGAATTCTTTACCAGACGAACTTAAACATGAACCTTCATTAAAAAGATTCATAAAAAGATTAGAACATCTGCTATCTGCACCAACATAGTCAGTTATTATTCTATGAATAATTGTAAATAGTCTCTTTTCTTTCAAAAATTCCAAAAAAAAAATGTAAAAATGTACGTATATCGTAAATTATACACGGCTTTTAGGAAGAACAAATTGTAAATAATTATTATTTATTCCATTTGATAAAACCACCGTATTTAAATAAAGATTTCAATCAATCAATCAATCAATCTATCTATCTATCTATCTATCTATCTATCTATCTATCTATCTATCTATCTATCTATCTATCTATCTATCTATCTATCTATCTATCTATCTATCTATCTATCTATCTATCTATCTATCTATCTATCTATCTATCTATCTATCTATCTATCTATCTATCTATCTATCTATCTATATATATATAGATAGATAGATAGATAGATAGATATATATATATATATATATATATATATATATATATATCAGTTTTTCCTAAAAAATCAACCTTTTGCATGCTTAATTCACCTATTCACCAATAGCGACGCCATCTTGAATTTCGCGTTTAACGCAATGCATTATGGGTGATCCAGGGTAATTGAACGTTTTTGAAGGGCTGTAAATCAAATATGTAGGCGAAAAGACACGTTTTTATAGTTGAAAATAACAGACAATTTTTAGAAGAACTAGGAAAACACACAAAAGCTGGGAAATCAGGATAAAATCTATAGTTTGTTAGGCCTAAAAAGGTAAATAATTTCAACAAAGTGCGCATAAAATTGATTTACACTGCCCATTGTCCTCAAGAAAGTGTTTATAAAAAAAATTATCGTATTGTGTCTCAATACGACATTAAAGGCTTTTGAATTCGGATTTTTACCCTGGATAACCCATAATGCATCATGATTCAAGATGGCGTCGCTATTGGTGAATAAGTGAATTAATCCACATTATGCAAATGCATTAATTAAGCATGCAAAAGGCTGGGTTTTTTTTTAAATGTAAGTTTGCGTGAAAAAACCAAAATATGAATATGCCCCCCCCCCCCACACTTATCGAGCTGGCTACGCCACTGCTGGGAGCTCACGGTACTCCATGATCTAGTGCAAAAAAGGGAAAGACTCCCTCGTTGCTCGTCTGATACCGACAAAGGCCTCTGTACTACAATCATGCAGTCACGATTCAGTGGTCGGCAATTTTTATTGTCGTTACATTTTTTGAAAATCACACTGTTCTCGATGCATGCCATCCAATCACACATCGTTTTGATTTATACTGCATGCATGGTATTCATGTAAGGGGCGTATTGAACTGAATGTTCACGCAAGCAATTGTAAGTTGCATAAATTTTGTTTCTAGTAATTTATACAGTATTTTACATGTTTGTTATTTTAAGGCCCCATGCAGGAAAAGAAGATTTTGAGGGGTTCCATAGGATTTTTCTGAATTTTGAGGGATTTCTCAGGGATTCTACCTACTGTGTCTACCTATCTTTTCTGAGGGATTCCTTAGCATCTACCTCTCTTGGTAGAAGAGACATAGAGCTATACAGTCCTGAACTTTAAAGGCCCGATTTTCTGACCGACTTAAATTGGTTGTCTCAGACGCATTAATTTATCCAATTTTTATTATGGCTAATACAACCAACAAATTGGTTAAAACAACTCAAAAAAATGGTTAAAACAACCAATACTGATTATGGTTGTTTTGACCAAATAAAATTGGCCAAAAACAGATGCGTCTAAGACAACCAATTTAAATTGGTCATTTCAACCAATCTGTTTTTACAGAAGAGTGGAGGAGTTAAAAGTGCCGGTTTAGATGAGGGTACATATTCTCAGAAGATTCATAATCTATTTACTCATTCACATCCATCAGAAGAGAAAATTGCACTAGAAATCGCAGCAAAAATTGCAAATGTAAACGGGCCTTAAAGTGCCTATGACACGAAATTTCACCCCAAATGTTTATGATTGCATTGTAAAGATTACTTAAAATGACTTAATAATTTCTTTTATAGAATTTTGGTAACTTGCTTCCTTTGCAAGATATTCAACTTTGTTTCATATGCAAATATCACCGGTGTGACATCACATCACATCACATCACATCACATCACATCACATCATGACATTTTGAAAACGCAATATTTTACCTTGATAAAATATTTTTACAAACAAATACAGAGGGTTAATTACCAGTTATGACATTAATACATATAGAAGGTCAATTTTAAAGTTTTTTAGATATTTATTCGTCAAGAAAACTATACTTTTCTGAAAACTCATTATGCGATGTGCATATGAAACAAAGTTGAATATCTTGAAAAGGGAGCAAGTTACCAAAATTCTATAAAAGAAATTATTAAGTCATTTTAAGTGATGTTTACAATGCAACCATAAACCTTTGGGGTGAAATTTCGTGTCATAGGCACTTTAAGGAGGCTCGATTCACTTTTCAAAAATTCAGGTGTTCAACACTTTAACATGTTGAAACTACAAATTTGAACATAGTTTACCAAACAAAATGGAAAGATATAGCGCATTGGTTTTCTAAAATAGAAAATTCTAATGACGTCAGCAATTGACATAAAACGCTATAGAACACGCGCAATGATGGAGCGAGCAACTGCTCACGTCAGGTCATTTTGCAACTTCTTTCATTTCGTTAATCCGTTTCCGCGACCAGCGCGTAAAAATGGTCACCCGGTTTTGTTCGCGATTCTTGAGCAGGGCTTTTGTGATATAACTATATCGAGCCACCTTAAATTAGTTCACTCAGGTTATGTATTACATGTACAAAATATAATCTCACTCAATTCCACCTACCTGCTTGCAGTGGAGAATAAATAGCAAATCCTTCGCTTGCCTTTCCACCAGTGAGATAGTAACTTGCAGTATTAGACAACGACTCGATCTTTAACCACAATGCAACAGAAAATCCTCTGGTGCAAAAATCCTCGTCATATAAACAGGAGGTTGGAGAATACAGGTTCATGTAGCCATCGGAAACAATGAGGGATGTCCGATTACCGAATGCCAGTGGTGGACCAGCGACGTTCATAGAGACTGAACCAGAAGCTTGGGAGAACATCTTGGTTCTAGAATCATACACCCTGTTGTTGGGCACCTTATCCAAAGGCCAATAATGATCGACATCATCATGACAAGAATCTATAGAAACTGGTATTATGTACAAACTGAAAGAATTCGTTCCACCTACTGGCAAGACTACAGGAGGTTCGGGTTTTAACGGCTTTTATAAACAAATTTTATACTCAACCAAAACTATTCTAAAAACATTCTTAATTAGTCAAAAAACTACACTTATAGATGACATGATATTATAATCCATTTATTTTTCTGCTTTAAGCATCTTTCTTTGCTTGTGATCCAATTGACGCCATGTACGCTACAGCGTACTATTTTTGTAAGAGCAGGCATACGCAGCTGTCACCCCCATCCCCCCCCCCCCCCCCCCCCAACAAATTAATTTACTAACTCTCTTTATATAAATTATTATGCCAAATTATTATGTATGGGATCCCGTTATTGGAGATTGTTTGGCAAATCTTGTAAATAAATAAACAAAATAAATAAACAGATTATGCTTATAAGTTTGTGAATCAGATGTATGATTCTGTATTGGTCGGCCATAAGCATGCATCTAAATGTAACTGACATTTGGGTATTTATTTTAAATAAATAAACAAAATAAGTAAACAGATTATGCTTATAAGTTTGTGAATCAGATGTATGATTCTGTATTGGTCGGCCATAACAATGCATCTAAATGTAACTGACATTTGGGTATTTATTTTAGCATTTTGGAATTATCGGCCTGTTATTTATTAGTACGGCCCTGTGTAGTGGCTTCTACAGTTAAGGGCGGGTAACCTTAATATTGGCCGTGGGTTACCAAAAACCTCAAAGCATGCTTTTCTACATTGTAAACGTTTAATACAATTTTTTCGGAAATCTTGTTTGTCTACCTATATCGGTAAAACTTTTATATCCTGCCGTTTTGAAATAGGCATAGATGTGTACTATATAGGCATTATAAGGGTATTTTATATTTAAAGTTGGGTCAATAACCGTTACCACTAGGTTTCTGTAAAAACTAATATAATTAACCATTATAAAAACTAACAACTGGGGGGCCGCTCGTCCTCGAGGTAGTGGAAAATTATTCTGTTTTGCCCGGGCCACAGTCTTACGGAGCTTCCTACGCCGCTGAACAAAATTACTCAACATAACAACCACAACCACAATCACTGTCTTTTCACAAATCGCATAACTTTATCTGCCATTAATCTACAGTCTACACACCTTTCTTGTCACAGTAAATGATTTTCTCCCCTGTATTAAACACATTAAATTTCAGGAAAGGTAATAACACTTCTCCGTCTGTTGCGGTGAAATTGACCAACACAGTGGCTCCAGTCCCGACAACTATTCGTCCAGTTTTTCTCATATCCACCCAGAATGGGATCCAATGAGGATCAAGATCAGCGCCAGGTATCGGCGTAGGACCAGCCAATGTATTGCCACCACCATATAGTCGCATTTTGTCTTGAAAGTCTAGGGTGTGCTTGTGTTGCCCCAAGGAATTTGACAATTTGAAGATCAATCTAGCAGTACCTTGTCGCAAGAATGAAAATACCTCACGGTGAATGTAGCGCTCTGATTCCATCTCTCCATCGGCAAATCCCATGAAATCACATACGTTTTCTAAAAAGAAAGCAGTATGGGTGGATAGGACCGCACGCGTGTGACCGCAAGCCTCACAGCTTGTCCACACGATGTTTTCGAAATGCTTGTTCCCAGTTTCTTAACAAGCCTGGAACAAGTTGATATCTTCTTGTAACAGGATTGACAAGGCCAACGGATTCTCAACAAATTATTGTAACAAGCATCATTATTATATATCAATAGTCAAAGTCGCATTTTTCTAGTGTTTTATTGGTTGAGGGCATATTACGTGAGAGTGACGAAATTAAGCTGTCTCCCTCGCAACAGCGCGAGAGGGAAACAATCATAGAAATAATAGATATAGAATGCGTACTCCTATCTTTTCTCAGTGAAAAATTTGTCTCCACAAAATGGCGGATTTATAAGGGCATTTTGGTTGGTCCCAGACTCCTGAGGCGGGGAATTTCGCGCAGTTGCAGGGAGTGCGAATTGTTTTTTACAACTGCAAACAACTGCAAAGTTTGGAAAAAAAATTATGCGAGACTAAAAATGGAAAAAATTTTCCTAAAGTGAAAAAAGTGTCTAAAAACCCATTCTAGTGGGCTTTTTTACGAAAAACAACAGTTCTGGACAGAATATATACAGAAATCGTCGTTTAAAAATAAATTTTCAACGTTGTTGTGCAAGCCAAAACAAAACCCGAAAGATGAAGAAAAACTCAAACTCAATAGGTATGTTCTATAAATATTTCAACTCTTACTACTTTTCATATTTTTCTACGTTGCTTGAGCTTGAGGCAAAGCTTTTGAAACCATAGTTTTCGACGATTATTTAGGCAATTTACAGTTTATCGAAAACTAAATATTTTTGTTTCAAAAACATAAAAAAACTTCGTTAACATCGAAGAAAAACAAAACCCGACGAAGAAAGAACTATCATTTTGTAATCTTATAAGAAATTAGCAAAACAGTGACGTTCAGAGCATGCAAAAATGTTTTATATCAGTTTACGCGAAACCGGCGAAACTACTTTGTTTACAAGGCTGCACGATTTTCACCGTTTTTATAACTGCACATTTGCTTTGACAGTTTGTGCCTTCAAAGAACTCAAAATCTATCCTCAAACTACAAATTAGACAACAACATAAACGTTTTGACGATGAAAACGTAGTTTTAGCTTTGTTTATACTTTGTAGTTCGCACTCCTAGTCAAATTCAAACATGGCGGATTTATAAGGGCACGGGGCACGCATGAGAAAAAGTGGAGACATGATTCGTGATCAAGTCAGGATCAAGTACGCATTCTATATCTATTATTTCTATGGAAACAATTATACGTTATCGACCGGCAAATAACAAAAAAATCACGTGCGCCATCACGTGAAGATGCGACCTTTGGGCATGCCTACACACGTAAAAACGCACAAGTTTGTTACAAGTCTGTTCACAAGCTGTTAACAAGATGTATTCGCACTGCTTGTCACAAGTTGTCAACAGGTTTGGAACAACTTGTTGACAACTTGTAACAACCTTGTCGAAATTATCAGACTTGTTGCAAGGTTGTTCTGACAAGTCCGTGACATGCTTGATATAATAAGATTGTTACAACCTTGTGTTGACAACCTTGTAACATCCTTGTTATATCATGGCTGTAACAAACTTGTTAGTACAATCTTGTAACAAGGCTGATAATGCCATCAAGCTTGTTACAAGTTGTTAACAGCTTGTTTCAAACTTGTTACAACAAACTGGGAACAAGCAGTGCGAACACAACTTGTTGACAGCTTGTAAACAGACTTGTAACAACTTGTTTGCAGACTTGTTACAACTTGTGCGTTTTTACGTGTGTAGTACGTAATTAAAACTTTCGCTTTAAGTAACTGCAGTGTAGCCAGTGTTTAATATAACGTTTTAACAATAAAATATTTCATGTATTTACATTCATTTGTTCTTTTTAAAATTTGTTGTTTCTTTGACTATTAATAGATAATAAAACACTTATTTACTGAGACCTCGAGACCTCGACCGTCGATGTTTCTCTCGTCGATGTTTCTCTCTGGTCTCGGGTCCACAAATTCACAAAACACACTATTTCCCTCGATCTCAGTAAATAAGTGATAAGTATCGTCTGCACGTAAAAAAATTGTTTACAAGTCGATAATAACAAGCTTGAAGCAACTTATTACGAACAGCCTTCGAACTTGTCTTGTTGGAACAACTTGTAGCAGCAAGGTCTCTGTCCCTGTCATCAACCTTATAACAAGGTTGATAACTTGTTCCAGACTTGTCAAAACAACTGAAAACAAGCAGTGCAAACACATCCCGACATCGGCTGGACAACAATCTTGTTTCAACCTGTTTACATATCTGTCACAACTTGTGCATTTTCCGTGCGTATGTGGCACAATGGCAGCGCACAAACCTTTCACCTTTGCGATTGGGTTTGTTTACTCCACTTTGAAGTGGTCGGCTGTGTTAATTAGGCCTTAGTCGCATGTTCATGAGAAATGTACTGGCAGTTTGACCAGATACCGCTGGATTTCTATGAGCACACCAAGTTCCTCTTATGGTAAAACTGGCCGATGCCACTTGGGGACTGTTCATATGAGCTTGGTTAACCGAGAAGCTTATCCGAATGGGATGAATTATTTCTGTTCATCTATAATACCCAACTCATCCTGTCAACATTACCTGTGAAACAAAACCTGCATAATATCCGAATTTCGAAGAAAGCCCATGCACGACTTTTAGTAGAGCGAAAACTGACTGATTTCATACAAGTGTCATGAGTCCGCAGCAAGAATCGAACCCACGATCTCAGAGGTGAAACGCGCTCGCTCTGACGACCGCACCATTGAAACTCCTTAAGCCCGTTCTCCACTACGCGAATTTGTTCGCGCGACGCGAAGCGAAAACCGAAATCCGGCAACGTGATTGGTCGGCGAAAAAATTCGCGGCGAAAAAGTAGGATCGCTTCCTACTTTTTATCTGTTCGCGCGAATAAATTCGCCTAGTGGAGAACGGGCTTTAGTAATTATCTGATTGAATACGTCAGGTCAAGTAGAAGGTTAGGCTTCTTACAAGACATTTTCAATAAATTTCATCAAAAGTAAAAGCGATAAAAAATAGAGTACCAACCATCCACGCAAGCGCCGTTGTAGACTTCGACCTCCGTAAGGCGAACCGTTCCATCCTTATATTTACTCTGCACAACTAATTTTATCCACGATGCAACACGAGGGACGAAGGAGAATTCTTCGGGATCTGGACTTCCCGGTGACAATCTTATCTGTGAAAAACAAAGTGTACGGTCATGAAACGTTAAGAAATTTAAGATTTGAGTACAGGCTCACTGCTTCGAGTTCGAATTCTAGCTGAAACTGGTCCCATGATCGAGTGGATAAAAAGTTAAAGTAACATTTAAGACTTTCATTCACATGTGTTTTTGAACAAAACTTTTGTACAAACAAAACACTTCTAATAATGCAATACATATATGCACAAAACACGCTTTATACAAGTATTGCACAATAAAACAGCAGAATGTAATAAGATACAATGTGATGCAATATATTACAATACTAATAATATACATAAAGATATTACTCGACTGTGATTGGTTGATTTTAGTGCAGTTAATCCCAAACAGCAGCGCAATTTTCTGTAATAACAGTGCAATTTTCTGTAATCACAGTGCAATTTTTTGTAATCACAGTGCAATTTTCTGTAATCACAGTGCAAAAATCTGTAACAAACTGATCTGATTGGTAGAAAAACATTGTGATGATTAAATCAACCAATCATGCAGTTTAAAGCAATTTAGTTTAAAGAAGTAACGGTCACAGATTGCTTCAAAACAAAACAAACATGGCGCCGCGCTACATAAAGTAAAAGTTGCCTTCGCATGGAAAATATGGCTTTTTACTTTATCTTCATTTTTAAATGGAAAAGCATTTACCTTAAACAAGACTAACAAAAATTACATAGTTGAGTGGAATTTTCAAGCTGTTAGCGTTGTATAATTTGATATAACAAAGCCAGGAAAACTTTGCCGGTGGAATGTTCGCTATAAACACGTTAGTTAAAACTACAATTGTCTCGAACATTTTTATGTAAATTATTAATAAGTAATAGCATGGTTTCGAGTGCAATTTGGATATAACATGCACGAGTGAGTTTTTCAAAGACCTCAAAATAGCACGAGTCCAAAGGATAAACCAATGTATACAGTGCGGGTATTATGCAGAAATATACTCCCATATGAAGCTCAGCATCATGTGCTGCCCCAAAACACTGGAATATGCGAGAAGTGATATCAATAAAATCCGCTAAGGTTTGTGCTATCTTTTTTTCCACTCACCCACTGGGCTGATCCATCAGAAAAACTGATAGTTATCCATTCGCTCTCAGCTGCCCCATCATCATCAGACTCTGTAATTCTTATACTGTCAATAAGGTATGGTCTGGCAAAGTCAATCTTCACCACAGAGTTTGAATTGTCATCACCATCTAATACATCGTCTTTTAAATCTCCATCGTTAAGGCGCGGGCACGGCTTCTCATTATTATCTACGATAGCTGATGATTTTCCACCATTTTCTTGCAAGGCAAAGTTTAGAAACGTGCATTGGATGAAATCTACATGAAAAAAGATAAGAAATTAAATCAGTGGGCTACGTATAGACTGCATGCGTCACTTCCCAACATATAGCGCAGTCCGGGGGAAGGTATTGATTCCAGGAAACTCAGTTTGAGTTTCTTAAATGGCATTTCCTATGTTTCTGGGGACGACGGCAAAGAATCAGACACCGTTATATTAAATTCTCCTAGTCTGATCTTCACATTATTCTGACATTCATGCAGAGTAAAACGGAAAATTCGTTGTCCCACCTTGTTGTTCTTTGCAGCGTCAGAACATTACGAACTAATTTTCATATCTCTGAGGATGGTTCAGAAACAGCTTGATCGTTTTGAGTCGATGCAATATTTCTCCTTGAGTTAAGGAGTTTCAAAAAATATTTATTTTTGTTGACGTCAGCATTATTGAAATGTCTTACATACAAGTGCTCATGTGAGCGAATTGTAGCCAGGAAGCTTAGATTAATTCTTCTTAAGGTTGGATCATAGACGAAAATGCAAAATGACTAGTAATTATAAAGACACTTTTTCAAACCATCTTAGCTTGTTTCTTTCTTAATTTCACAGTGACATATTTAATAATGTTTGATATACAAATTATCCTCACTATGACACAGGATGTAGCTAAGCAACGACTACGGAAATGAAAAGAGAAGCTTTAGACGAGTATTTTGGTACCAAACACGCAGCAAGGCAATCAATATTTCGACTTTAGCAAGCGAATGGAATATCACTTCGAACGTGCAGTAATATATATGGCTTCGCTCATCGCACCGGCTTGCGGATTTCAAAACAATAAGCAGGGGTTTTATTGCTAGGGTGTAACGAAATAATAAACGGCGGAAGGCAAGGCTATACCATTCGTCAAAATAAAATGATTTCAGCAACTGTCTATAATTGAATATATCACGAGATATAGCCGTTTGAGCGAGAAACTTTATAGATTCCTACGGTATGTAAAGTGAGGTAAAATGTTTTCAAAAACTCATTAATAATTCATGAGGAAAACACAAAGAGAAATCATAAGCGTGGCGTGTCTTTATATGTGATAAAACACGCTTCAAATTTCAACTTGTATTTTCTCAGCTAATACAAAGTTATTTTGGAAAATTATTTCGCCAATGCCGTGACCTAACTGAGACGTTTTTGAAGCTGTTTAATAAACTCGTAGTTCGAGTTTTATCACATATAAAACACTCCCCTACGTGTCGTGTTTTATATGTGATAAAACACTCCTACTCGTTTATTAAACAGTACTTGAAAAATCATGAATAATTCATGAGGAAACACAAAGAAAAATCATAAGCGAGTCGTATCTTTATATGTGATAAAGATTTCTCTCGATTTACATAAACTTTCACTTTGATTTTCTCGACTTACACAACGTATTTTTTAAAAATTACTTCGCCAATGAACTTACTAGATCGATCGTTTTTGAAGCAATTTAAAACATTCACGCAGTGCGTGTTTTATCAGACCTTAAGGTGGCTCAATACAGTCTTTAAAGAAATGGAAAATTCACGATTTAGATGCGTATTTTTGGATAATTATTACTTGTTGATAAACAAAAAGTACCTTACTTATATAAAACAATATCTAAAGAGCTTGAATTTCTGCACAAAAGTTAAGCAACTGCCGTTGCAATGGCAACAATGACATTTCAAAATGGCGGATATGTTGCCTTTAAAGTAATTTAACTCGTCTCTTAGTATAATCAATTATTTTGACAATTTTAAAAAAATTCTGTGGAGCCAAAAAAATTATTATGAATAATCACCTTTACGTAATTAAATTAAATTGTCAAAATAATTGATTATAGTGAGAGAAATCATTTTTTGAAATAAAATTGGGGGGTCACCGATGTCGTTTACAAGTTAAATTACTTTAAAGCCAAAATATCCCCCATCTTGAAACGTCATTGTTGCCATAGCAACGGCAGTTGCGTAACATTTGTGCAAAAATTCAAACTATTTTGTTCATCAACAAGTAATGATTGTCCAAAAATACGCATCTAAAAATCGTGAATTTTCCATTTTTTTAAAATCTGTATTGAGCCACCTTAAGATACTCGGCTGCGGCTCGTATCTTTATATCTGATAAAACACTGCTGCTGATGTTTTAAATAGTGCATCGCAAAAAGCAAAGCGTGTATACAAAGTAATGAGAACATTTTTTTTTAATGTGTTACTATACGACCGCTACTTCTAATCCAAGATTTATATACAGGGTGTATAAAAAAAACTGAACAGATTTGAAATTGCTCTCAATTTCGCAAAACACCTATTTGTATCCGGTTTTTTATATATATATATAGGTTCTTTGGGTACTTATAATGTAGAATAATGAAAGAAATTTCTCAGACTCAAATTTTGTGAACCAGGAGGGGGGGGGGGGGTATCT